CCTCTAGACAGTATGTACAAGCGTCACTGATTATTTCCTAGGTCTAAATTTTGGGTAAATCTTAACACCAATCACTGCTACTATATTAAAGCTGCTGTGCTGTTCAGTTCTTCCCATGTTAAATTGGATTGAACCAAATATCTGCCAGAAGGCATCCAACCCACGCATATCTCTGTCTGAGGTGACTGAAGATTCCTCCACCTGTTACCATTAATTTTCTTATGGCTAACAACCTTTTAAAAAGCAAACCAAAGCTAAAATCAAGACCAGCTTCTTACTGCTTCTTTTTAAATCATACTATTTTACCTCAGGAAAGCAGGAAGTCAGGAATGTATCAACAAATTTTTCCCATAGGAAAACACTTCAATTTCCATTTGACACATTCACATTCTCTCTGGTCATATGATATTTCTACCATTTGAAACACTGGGATATTTTCTTAAAATATTTTCGGTCACAGGAACAAAAATGCTAACCTCACAATATGCATTTTACTCCAAGGTCTTACACTGGAGAAAGTAATATTCAGAATCTGACCCTTCTGTATTTTGTACTGTTCTGTCAGTTGTCAGACAGGGACAATAAGCCTCTTAGAGTCTATAGAGGTGGTATTATTTTTTTAGAACCTAACACAATTTTTTTCATTGAGATTGTAAAATTGACTAATCAGCATCAAATTTTTAGTATAGTGCCTGTGCAAATTTTTTTTTCAGATTAAGCACAGAAAAGAATAAAGGAGGTTAATATCTTTAAAAATTAAAAGCAGGTCATAGAAAATTTTAGAAAATGGTAGAGACACAAATGTTAGAGACAGAAGTAAAAAATGGTTACTATTTCAACACATGATTTATAAAGAATCCTAGCACAGAGTGGACAAGGGCAAAGACTAGTGGAAATAAAACCAGTGTGTTGCAATTGTCGTCTAGAAAGTAGCTGTTGCCAGCTAATTTGATTCAGCTGTGTAAGAGATATATATAGTGTGTAATACAGTAAGAAATACTCCTTATTTTGTGCTGAATGCAAAGCACCAGATGGATGGTCTTGTATGAAAAAAATTTTGACCAATCATTGTCTCTTTAGCCTTGATAGCAAACATCATGTGCCTTCTATGGCTACAGGTCAATACCAGTGCATGAGCCTCCTTCCATCTCCCATTTCCTATAACAGTGTCCTGGGGTATGAGAAATAAATGTAGATTGCTTGTTACATGCATAAAAGATGAAGTTAATACTGTTTAAATGCACTTTTTTCACAACCAAATTTCCAGTGATTTTCCCATCTGGCAGGTAAATCTTCAACCATTCTGTTCTCCATACGTGGCTCTCTCTTGTCTGTGTAACTTGGTTGGCTATAATCAAAAGGTATATTTCCTGCCCAGGCTTGGCTCCTCCTCGGAACCGATTAAGGTGAGTGGGAGGGGTCAGGCTCATTAGCAGGTGATAGGGGAGGCATAATAAGAGCCTCCAAGAGAGCTACTAGGCCATTTCCTGCCCAGGCTTGGCTCCTCCTCGGAACCAATTAAGGTGAGTGGGAGGGGTCAGGCTCGTTAGCAGGTGATAGGGTTGGCATAATAAGAGCCTCCAAGAGAGCTTGAGCGAAGGTTGCTCACCCACCCCACACAGGAGTGGGCAAACAGGGGTGTGGCATGTCAGTGAGGGCGTGGCACGGCAGTTTGCACGGCAGTTTGCACGGCAGTTCCCACAGGTAGGGCAGAAGCCTAAGGTATTTCTGCGGCTTTTTTCTCACAGCTCAAGGCAGTCATGCCTCCCAAAAAAATGAAAGCTGTTGCTCCTATTACCAGTAGAGGGGTGTCCATACAGACGGAACCCTCTAAAAAGGATGCAGCCACTCAGGCCTCTGGCTGCATAGACTGTTTAAGCCTACAACTGCTACCAGAGGACAGCGTGAGAAACACCTGCATACGATGTGAGCAGGTGGATGATTTGCTATGTCTGGTGGCAGAGCTAAAGGAAGAGGTGGAAAGACTAAGGAGTATAAGGGAGAGTGAAAGGGAAATTGACTGGTGGAGTCACACCCTTTCGATTCCTAAGGAAGCCCAGCAGGAGGCGGTGAAGCCCAGACCCCCCCGCCATCGGGCAGACAGAACGGACAATATGGATGGGGAGGAATGGAAACAGGTGCCTGGTCGTAGAGGCAAAAACACCCCCTCTCGACCCCTTTCACCTCCCAGGGTGCCCTTAAAAAACAGGTATATGGCCCTGGTTTCAGAAAGTCTGATGGAGGACAGTCAGGAGGAAGATCTGTCTACAAGGTCTTCTGGTTACACCCGGTCTACTGGATCTGTTACAACTACAGGTAAGAGGAAAAAGAGAAGGGTTATTGTAGTTGGTGACTCCATTTT